TGGCTTAGTTAAACCACATTGATGAGTTAGGATTACTATGAAGTCTAGGGGACTCCAAGAAATCTGTCATGATGGTATGTAAAATTTCTGGGAAAGACTAGACCAGCATTCCCCCTAAATTAATGCCCTTCAGATAATTTTATACTGAATTTCCCATCAGTGAGGGATGTGTCCTGTGGGGCCTATAATGTGGGATTATGTGAATTGATGTTGAAAAACATCTGGGATAGGAGCATAGGGAAGGCTGGGCTAGATACTGATGTCTTTTAATAGCATTCGCAATTGTTCACATTCCCTAGGCGTTTTAATAAACTAATTTTCACTATTTGACTTCTAGTTGGTAATATTTAACTACCTCTGTGTGAATCTTACTACTTTTAGATGCATTTGTTTGGGTCCTTAAAGCACAGTGGGAGTTTGCATTGTCTTCCTTCTTATGCCTTTCTTTTGCAATCTGCACTGTGCTATAAATGTTCTTCACATTGCTTCCTTTACCATGTTTCCTTCTCTTGTAATTGTTTCAGTGGTACATGCTGATATGCTCATTTATCACAGAGACCATTTTTAATGAATGCTGTGCTTCTTCATTATGTTGCCATGGTAGCTTTGGGTGGTAGAATGATCTGTTTCCAGATGGATATCTTTATTTATCAGTAGTATTGTAGTGTGGGTATTTCTGTAACACACACACACACACACACACCTCTGTAGGTAATGAGGATGGGCTATCGTTTTTTCAGATTTTACTTACTTAATAATTGTTTGCCTTTCAGGCTATTGGCTGTTTTATGCCATGATTTTGGAGAGGTACATTATGTATGCAGTCATAACATGTCTGGCACCTTTATTGCTTTTCTATGTTTGGGTTCATTATGTCTCTCTGAGACTGTTTTGTTTTATTCTGAATTATTATTTTTGTTGGGATTGTGATTGGAGGCTGAAGATCCAGTGGATCTGCTCACTCACCCCCCCTTGCTATCTACTACCATTCTCCATCATGCCTTTCGCTGAACATATGGGATGGGTGGAGAGGAAGCACTGGAAACCTGTGTGGTGACTGGAAGAAGCCAAGAGGGACTAGTCCAGGGGTAGGCAACCTTTCCCCTTTAAGGGCCGAGGGACTTCAGCTCCCAGAATCCCAGGAGCTATTGGCCAACATGGGACTATTGGCCAACATGGCTGAGGCTTCTGGGAGCTGAAGTCCCTCGGCCCTTAAAGGGGAAAGGTTGCCTACCCCTAGACTAGTCAGTACCAGACCTTCCCCTTTGAGATCAAAGCTTCATCACAGGTCCTGGAGGTAGGAGATTTCCATTCCTTCCTATGAGTCTAGGATGCTCTTCCAAGGCCATAGGATTGCACCAGAGACCTTAAAGCAACCCATAAAGATACCTAGAAAGCTCTTAGCTGAAATGAGATTTGAACTGGGAATTATTCTCTGATCAATATAATTAGTTGGTTTGAAGATGTTGGATTCTTTCATAAATGCAAGATAGTGGTCTGCTCCTCTGGTTTTTTATTTTAGTTTTGAAATAGATACTGGATTCCCTGCCACCCAGTTTTGACATCTTCAGCATTAAGAGTTTGGGTGCACACAGTTGTGCATTCTAATAATAGAGCTTCACATAGTGATCTTGTCTGTGTGTCCGCTCTTTCTTGTTGTGTGCCTTTAAGTTGTTTCCAACTAATGGCAACCCTTAAGAGAACCTATCATGGGGTTTTCTTGGCAAGATTTCTTCAGAGAAGGTTTGCCTCAAAGAAGGCTGGGAGCATGTGACTTGCTCAGGGTCACTTAGTGGGTTTCATGACTGAATGGGAAATTGAACCATGGTCTCCAGAGTTGCAGTCCAACACTAAAACCATTACACCACGCTGGTTTGCAGGTCCATGGACAAGACTGAACTAGACAAATGGGAGAGCATGTCACTGCTGGCAAACCCAAAGGTCCCATGTTCCCCAACCCCACTCTATAGTAACATAATTTAAAATAAACAATGAGAGTTTCTATACTTTTCTTCTAATAGCTGCTATTTACAGGGTTGAGGAAATTCTCAAGTATTCTCATTTATTAGAAGGTGATGCATGGCTGTTGACTTTTTTAGTTCTAGTCAAAGATTACCCAATTTGTTTGTGGCAGAGTTGAGACTTCAACTGGTGCTTGGCTGTATCCAGTTCATAACTTCTGTTCAGAATCGCAACTGATGTAACTATATACCATGCTCTCCTTTGTGAGACCCATAAGGTTAACCACTGCTGATGACAAAACACAGAGCTAAACAGATCCTTGGCTTTATCCAGCAAAGCACTACTTAGGTCATAGATTGAATTAAGTGTCTAGTTTCCCCTTGATATGCCAGATGGCACATTTTTATGCTGAGTTAAATGTTGTGGCTATTCCATGCTGTCTTGCAAGGAATCTGTATTTGAACTCAAACAAATCACTTATGGTCTGGATGACAGCTGTAGCTGCTCTAAATTGTGAATAATGATGATAATATTAGAAAAAAAGGAGCTGAACATTTGTTACATTTTCAGTATTTTTCACATTAAAATGGTCTGACTACAGTATTTTAAAAATTGTGAGTTGTCAGATTTTTGAGAGCATTTGAATAATTGGTTGTAAATCATGAACTGAATGTTATATATTCTGTGCTCTTGAATTAAATGAAAATATGGAAAAATTAATTTATAAATAGAAAAGAAATGTAGAATTAATGCACGCTGAATTATGGTTGAAAATAGAGATGGAACAGTTCAGCATGTCACTCATTTGAATTTATAGGTATAAGGACATGTTCAAAGGTCACCTTAATAACTATGCATGGCATTTTCTACATCAGCCAAAAGCTATAGCAAATATAAAAATTATTAGGTTACGAACAAATCCCTATTTATGGTATACTCCAGAGGTCTCCACACTTTTCTGGCCGGGGGCCGGTTCGATGTTCCCCAAGAACAGCTGATGGCTGGGGGGGGAACGGAGGTGTGTGCATGCGCATGATGCTGGGCGCCATTTTGTGTTTCAAAATGGCGTCCGGAGTCATATGTTTTGTGTCGCGCATGCATGCGCACGATTCCAGGTGCCATTTTAGAAGACAAAATGGCACCAGAGTTGTGCACATGCGCGCAAGTCCTAACGCCATTTTGGAATACAAAATGACGCCCCGCATCACGCGCACATGCGCACTACTCTGCCGCTGTTTTGTCTTTCAAAATGGCGCCTGGAGTCGTGCGCATACACAATGGCGGACACATTCGCATGGCTCCAGATGCCATTTTGGAAGACAAAATGGTGCCCAACGGTGTGTGCGAGCGGCGGCAGGACTGGCCCCAGGCCGGTAAGAGGCCTCGATGGGCCGGGGCTGGCCCTACGGGCCATAGTTTGGCAACCCCTGGTATACTCCATTAAAGAATGCATTTGTGAAATCACAAATCGTTTTAGATGCTGAGTCGTATTTAGCCTACTTTTGGCAGCATATATAGTAAATCAAATAATACATTTTTGGACTTTTATCCCCTGAATCTAATTCTAACTAGATTCGATCTGTTGGTAGAACCAAATCAAGATGCAATGCGCTAATATGCAGATCCTCCATTTGTCCAGCTAGAAATTCTGTGTCTCCTTTCAGTGAATGTAGTTGAAATTTCAAAGGAGAGAATGTTATCCTCAGAACCAATTCCTTATTACTGAAAAAATGGACAGAGCTGGTGATAGCTAATAAGATAAAAATAAAACATGATGAAGGAAGGTAGCAAGATTAATTTTTATTGAGAAATTGGCATTTTTGTACACTGGTTGAATGACAGTTTTAACAACTCAGGAGGCTCATATAAATTATTCATTGACACAATTTTCAAAGTATCACTGTTCTTTTTATAATAGTACTAGCAGTGGTAAGCAAGGTCATTTCATAGATCCAGTTACTGATAATTGTAGCCTTACACATATGAACTGGCCACTTAGATTGTTGTTTTTAAAAGGATTACTGTGCACACATTTATGGGTGATAGGCTTGTTGGGACCTTCTAGCCATGGTAGTGGACCCTCATGTTCAAAGGTAGTATTAATCTGAATATTCAGAGAGCATTGGCTAGGTCTGATGCTGGAGGACTTGGGAATTGGAACAGGAATGGGTAGAAAGTAAATAAAAATCTAGGCCGGTAGATCGATGGGTGAATTGCAGATCTGCTAGGATATTTAAGACCAGTTTGTTTCTCTCTCTTTGCTGCTTGCCAGTTAGGTTGCTACAGAAGAATACTTGCAGAGAAACCAGTGTAATTGTGTGTGTCTGTGTTAGAGAGAGGGGGGGGGGCTAAACAAAAGGAAAGGATTAGTTGGCTTTCTTCTGGCTAGCTTTGTTAAAGTGTGTGTGTGTATGCTTTCACATTGCCTGTCAACCAATAGTATTTTCTTAAGCAAGGAATACTCAGAGGTGGTTCTTATTCCTGAGTTCAGCATGTGCTTAGGAACAACATTGTCCTAGCGCATTTCCATCCACCTTAGCCTCTATTTTCTACCCGCCTGGTGAGGTCCCCCTAAACCTGTATTGGAATAATGCCAGTCTTGGGAAGAGATTGGGGTTATTTAAAGTGCAGGAGGAGGAAATTTATATCCTGCTATATATTACATGATACCAAGGTAATGGCCAGGTAAAATGCATTAAACAATATATATAGCAGCTTAACACTGAAAACAACATCATTTAAACAGTCTAAAAGCATTCAATGCCATGGCCGTGTTAGTCCGGAAAATCAATAGGCAAAGGGATCTTGCAACACCTTTGAGGCTAACTGAATGAGAGAAATTGGAAGCATAAGTTTTTGTAGACTTGAGCCTACTTCTTCAGATACATGGAAAGCATATCAGAAAGCATATATAATTTAACAAATTAAAACAGGCTAGCAAAGTTAAAACAGTTTAAAATTACATGTGTGTACACTTAGGACACCACCATTCCATATCTTACAGAATCTTGGGATTTGTAGTTTGGTGATGCACCAGAGCCAACATAGTGTAGTGGTTTTGAACATTGGACTACAACTCTGGAGAACAGGGTTCAAATCCCCGCTCAAGCATAAAAACCCACTGGATCACCCTTGGCAAGTCACACTCAGTCTCAGAGGATGGCAACAGCAAACCTCCTCTGAAGAAACTTGCCAAGAAAATCCTATGATAGGTTCGCTTTAGGGTCACCCTAAGTCAAAAATGACTTGGAGACACACAACAACAACAACAACAACAATAACAACAACAACAACAACAGATGCACCAGAGCTCTCTGAAAGACCAGGCTGATTACCTCACCAAACTACAAACCTCAGGATTCCACAGGATGGAGCAGTAACAATTAAAGTGGTATCAAACTGCTTTTTTCTCTTCAGTGCGGATACCTCCTGAGATGGGCAACCACTCCCATCTCCATGATATCTGAGGTGGTAGAATTGCATGACACGCTATTAGTACCATGAGAAGTTAACACTGTATCATTAACTGAATAGCTGAATTTGGTAGCCACCATTAACATAGTATCATTAACTGAATAGCTGAATTAATAGCCACACAATTGGTGTTGTGGAGTGAATATGTTCTGTGATTATTTGATATTGGATTTCTTTAATGATGAGCATGCATTTGTGAACTTGTACATTACTGTGAAGACCAGGGGTAGGCAACCTTTTTGAGCCGGGGGCCGGTCCCCCAAAGTCGTCCCTTCCGCTGGGCTGGGGGGGATGGCAGCGTGCACGCTTACGCGCAACCCCCACCGCCACGCATGACCCCCCCGCGCGCACGCCGCCACTGCTTCTGCGCATGCGCAAACGTGTCGAGACCGCCATTTGGAAATCAAAATGGCGGTTGCTGTGCGCGCGGCCTCACGGTGACCAAAACGCGCGGCAGTGATGGTAGGCGGCGGTGGCGGTAGGAGTCCGCCTGGGCCAGTAAGCGCGGGGCCCTGGGGCGGAACCGGCCCGCAGGCCGTAGGTTGCCGGCCCCTGGTGTAGACCTACCATACCGGGGTGGGGCGGGGGGGGGGAAGAGATAGACAATGAAATCTATGTTCAAATGAATTATTTGAGTAAATTCTTGGAGTAGTGGTGAGTTGGGCTTAACTGTGTTTGAGGTACAACATTAGTTCTTGAATTTAAAGAGCAGTGGGCCAGTTCCAAGAGAGATATTTTATTACCTTAACACTGCTGTAGGGTCATAATTAGTTAGAGATTTCTCTTAACACTGACAGTCAAATTATCTGGAAGACACTTCAGTTTTCTCAGCCGGGAACTCACATATTTCAAGTTGTTCAAGCAACCTCTGGCAAGTTATTCTTCATTTTGATTGCACACACTTCTTATTTTTTATAGCCGGACCAACAAAAATATCCTCAATGCAAGAGAAGTCTCTTGAATCTGTGGTGGATGTCAGCCATTAATGTTTCAAAAAGATCATGTAATTATCAGGAAATGCTTGCTAAACCATCATTCTATGGGAGTAGTGGTCTCCTATCCCAATCTCTTTCTCTTCAGTGCAGATTTACCACCTGTCAAAGGCCTGCCTAAGGAAAAACGTCTGCCTAGCCATGGAAGGACCCATTCATTTGTCTTGCTGGCAGGCAATGGTATCCACATCTATAGAATATGGACCTGTAGAATACCAACACCATATTTCAAATGAGTTGATTCTCTTCCTGTCAGCTTTCTTCACTTCACCATCCAGTTTTCGCAGACATACATAACATTTGGAAATTCTATGATGTGGATGATTCTGACTTTGATATGTAACCTGGTATCTTTACACGTGAGGATCTTAGTTAGGCCTTTCATAATATCCTTGGTACTACTTTTCCATGGGCACCAAATGGGTATCAGTTACCAAGCCAGTCACCGCACCTGTCAGCAATAACTCCATATCATTTATGAAGAAATTCAACCAGATTCTTACATCCATACCAACTTCCCAGTCTCCTTTATCTTCTGCAGGGCATTCCAAGACTTTTTGGTTAGCTCATTCCAGTGGCAGCAAGCAAGATCCTATTCCAAATCTCTTCTCCAGTAAGAGGGGCCACCCTCTTTTTACCAGATAGGCCCTGCCTAGTAGCAGCTCCAGGAACTCAGAAGTTATTACTTCTTGTTATTTTTACAAAAGGTTTATTTTTTGGTTTTTTGTTTTGTTTTGTTTTTGTAAGCTCTCTTCTTCCCCACTCTTAATTTAGCTTTAATTTTAATCTTAATGGAATTCATTTGATAGGCAGCCATAGTTTGTCAGGGAGCCCCCCACCCTTTACATTTTCCTCAAAGGCTGCTTTTGATTTGACCACTCTGGCTGGGTGGACAGATTTTTCCCCCAGCCATTTTACCAGACTTTGCTCAGGGTTCAAGCTCTTCTTGCTTGAGAGGAAACAAAGCTGGTAGCCCTATGTGGCTTCTATTTTAGATGTAAAATACATTGCTTTTAGTCTCCTTGCTATGTTTTTTTTAAAAAAATCAGTTACTGTTTGTGTTTTTATTTTGTTTTCTTCCTTTTTTTTAGCTATTTGGATTTTTATTTGATGAGTTGTGCATGTTTTATAGCTGTTCTTACATGTGTCTTGTTTTCCTCTTGTTCCTCAGATGAGTATAGAATCAAACCTGTGGAAGAAGTCAAATACATGAAAAATGGAGGAGAGGATGATCAGAAAATTGCTGCCAGAAACCAGGAAAACTTGGTAAGGGATGAATGTTATTACTAATTTAACAACTTGGATACTGCTGTGTGTCTGCAATGAAATATAAAGCATGTAGAACACTTAGTGCACTGAAGAAGAGCTGTCTTTAAAATGCCACTCCTATTTATAGCTCAGAGGGAAAGTGCAAAATGCTACCTTCCCTGGTTGTCTTTATGAATTATCCCACCCTTGGTACTGTGAAGTGTGCTCTAGTAGAATGGGCATTTGTATTCGGCCCCTTTGCAAGTGGTAATGCTGCTTGGCTCATGATGAATATGTTTGTGCTCAAAGGAGCTGTTAGCAACACAGGAATTTACTGCCTTTCGAGAAGGAAACCACCTACTTTTAAGTAGTTGTCTGTCATTTATTCTCTGAGCTCCTGTACTGAATTTTCAAGAGTGCAAAGTTAGACACTTAAAGATGTGTGCTGTGTGTACAGTAGAGAATTGTAGGAGTGTTTTAGTAAATTGCTGTAACATAGAATTAATTTCTTGTTTTGTTTTTACAACTTATGTTACCCTCTTTATCAGTTGCATAATGCTAGGGCTCTGCTGCAGTTTTCTATGAGAGCAGAAAGAATGCAAAATTAAACTTCCTATCTATCATGATTTTTCAGTTTTGTTTTGTTTTTTTAAATCATTCCTTATAGTTACAAAGTCCTTATAGTTACAAAGATAATTTGAAAGTACATGGCTCATGTCTTCTGTAATTCTGAAAGTTAAAACTTAAATATGTAATACAAAATTTAAAGACTTATGCAAATGTAGCATATATAAATGACAAAATTCAGATTTCCATAGTACATGATTTGGATTACCTAGGCATAAAACTTTTTTTTTTTTTTTAGCATTGATTAAAAGTAATCCTGCATATATTTTCAGCATTGCTTTCCCATGGTACTATCACCTAGCATGTATTTGCATTACATATTTAGGGTTGCCAGAGTGAAATAGGGTTGCAGCCTGCTGAATTGTCTTTTCTGCACTACCATTAGAGGTACAGGGACACTCTCCAGTTTTCAGTTTGGTGAACCTATTTGTTTTGTGCCAGTCTGCCATAACTATCCCAAGGAATCTTGGGAACTGTAGTTGCTGAAGGTGCTAAGAATTTTCTATCAGAGATCCCTATCACCATGGATGTGGGTATGCCACAGGAGTTCAAGAAGGATCTTAAGTCAAAATAATTTCTGACTGAATATTAGGAGAAGCTTGCCTGAAATAATGATCCCATTGCAGTACACTGTATCCTGACATGTAGCTGGAAGAGAGATGGAAAAGGCTGAATGAGAGGGGAAAAGATCCCCCGCCTTTTCTCCCCCCTTCCTTCATCCCCTGTGTTGTTCTTGCTGAGGAAATGAAGGTGGTATTTTGGAGAAATGGGATGGGGAGGATGGTTTGGAGAGATGGGATGGTGAGGACATTGGTGTTAAGACTGTGATGAAAGACAGGTATGTAGGTTTTTAATCCAAGCAGGAAGATTTGGGAAGGGCCTTCCAGTCTCCCAGGATTTGGTGTCCCAGCCGAGGTTGGGAGAACTCCCAGATCCCTCCCTCCATTACCATCCGATGTCATCTGGGGAGAGACACTAGGCCCAGCACCATCGGGCCTAGAATAAGAAGAAGAGCCCTCCCTCCATTACCATCCGATGTCATATGGGGGAGAGGACACTAGGCCCAGTACCATCCGGCCTGGAATAAGAAGAACCCTTACTACTTAAAGGACGGGTGGGATTTGGGATTTTTATGTTTTGTTTAGATTGTATTAATATATCTCTATGGAAATTTTAATGTTGTAAGCCACCCCAATTGCTCTGCAGAGGGGTGGGATATAAATTATTATTATTATTATTATTATTATTATTATTATTATTATTATTATTATTATTATTATTATTATTATTATTATTAGATGTTCATAGCTGTGTCAGGAAAAATAATGCCCAATCCCTTAAAATAGTTATAAAATACTACACTCAGTCCTCTGTATCCACAATTTCATCCATCCATAGCTTAAAATGCCAATTTATATAAAGGACATAATTATACTATGGCATTGTATTTAATGGGACTTAACATTATTACGTGATACGTAAAACATTCATTGTTTTGAGGGAAGGGGAATGAAGAGGTTGTAATTGTGTGTTCTTTTAAAAGAAACATAACATTTGGTTGATGTTACTTTTTTAATGTAATCAATACTGTTTACTCATTACTCCTGGCATTTGGGAGAAATTTTGGGCACTTTTGTATTAAACAGTAACGTATCACCAAAACATTTGTCTTCACATAGTGGCAACTAATGAGTCATGCCCAGCAATCAAATTGCCAGTTTCAGTCTTGTGTATACTTAGAAAGCAGCCACATTTGGAATGGTGTGTAGT